ATTTTTTTAATTATAAATAAATATAAAATTAAATATTAATTTTAATATAAGTGTTAATGGAATTAATTTAATTAAATAATTAATAAATTAAAATTATTTTTTATTATAAAAATATTTATTGCATTAATAAAGGCACATACTATAAAAATACTAGTAAAAAAATTTTAACAAAATCGACGGCAGAGGAATAAATTCTCTTTTTTATGTTATCTTTCTTTCTCATGCATAAGGGAACAATTTCCAAGACATTAACCGTTATAATTAAAGGATTAAATACCAATAATTAAACTAATCTCTTGGACAACTTTGCCTTTCCTATCCTAAACTAATAATAAATCACATGCAGATCTCTGCACTAGCTACTCCTACGTGGCAAAAGCCTAGCCAGGGTTTCCTCTTTAGGGATTTCCCTTATTTTGTTCGTCTCTTTAATACAACTTTTTGAAATAAATTAAGCACTCATATTTAAGTATGCCAAATTCATTGTTCGTGCATGGTTCCAAGCAATTAGCATCTGTTTTTTAGCAGCAACAAATTCCAATTTCTGAGTAATGTCTATGGACTAGCTGGACCACCCTTTGCATTGACCAACCTTTATACTAGTAGTACTTTAATTAAACATAAATGAATTTTTTTTAGTTTGGATTATATTTTTTTAAACAATTTAGATACTGAAATTATTGAAATATATATTTTAAATGAACTGCTATTCTTATGCATTTATTAATGATAATTTGATAATTTAATATTTAAACTGTAAAAAAAAAAAACAATTCATAATAGAAACATCTCTTCCTCTTAATTAAATATCAAATTCAACCTATTTAGGTCATCACACGGATTTAAGAGGTTTTTTTTTTTTTCATATAAAATGGTTAATTTAATTTTTTATACTTTTAACCCAACTAGTTTTACATATATCGTCTGCAAACTATTATCTTGGGGTACTTGAAAAAACTCTACTAAGTTATGTGGATTGACAATTATAATTGTTTCAATGAAAATGATAATAAAGGAATTCAAATTTCAAATTCAAACATAATTAACATTAATTCTTGTATTTTCTCTCTATTAATCTTTCATTTTGTCTCAAAATAACCATCCTCTTTTTAGCACTAAAAATTTGTACCAAATTAATTTTTAAGAGAAATAAATATTTTTTTTAATTTAATTGTATAATTTATTTATTAACTCTAATTATCCATCCTAATACCAAAATTTTATATCTTTATTTTTTTAGAATAATATAAATATATTTATAAATTATTCTTAAATTCTTAATATATACAAAAAAAAAAATTTA